GTCATGTGAATCGTAATTAGTGATGTCTCCTGTTCCCCTGAAGGAATCCCCGGATGTGTAAACGTTAGTGAAGGTGCGTAGCCCACATACATGTTCTTGCTAAGGGGAGAGAGGCACCGGATTAGGCCCACATGTTTACACTTGCCCCTTCCTCCTCTTAAAATGAAACACCTTTAGAGAGCTTTGATGTGAACATATTCAACTGCAACCTGCTATATATGACTCACAAAAGATAAATTGCTCCTTTCCTATTTTAATGCCGACAAACATGCATACCGTATCAGCTTAAAACTTGTGTCCTATTTTTGCTGTGAAGAAATTAACAAAAAGCAGATACATCCACAACACACAATAGAAGAGCTTCCAACTGAATGTCATTGTGAATCACCCATTGTGCTTTTTTACACAAGTGATCAGACTCACTCTCTCTCTCTGTTTTGTTCCCAGGCAACACTATTAGGGCAGTGAACCCCCTAGAGGGCCATTTGTGGAAAGAACTACAGGCTATTTCCTGGAAATGTTATTTTTAAGTAGACACACCATAGCTAGTATTTTGTCTTCAAAGCTCTTTAGAAACAAGAATCTCTGTCACTAGGCTTTTCTGGGAACTGATGCCCCAGTTTTTATACTTCCTCCTGGTTTCCTGGTTTCATCTTTGCAAAGCAGTAAAAAAAGGTGGTGGAGAACTTCCAACATGGCCTATGAATCTGTAAAATCAAGGGTCAAAAGCAGAATAAGGAATATAGGTTTCAGTCCTATTGCTAGTCTCAACAAGGGCAGATCTAGTAAATCTACTACTAAATTGTAGGTTAATGCTTAAGTAAATCCCACTGATTCAATAAGGATACTTGAGCATTTAGATTCAGGCCATATAAATCAGGAATATATTTGCAAATTCAGACTGTGAATTCCCATTTCCTAACTGGACTGCATTTCCTGAGAAATGTGCATCTCAGAACTTTGTTACTATTCAGATTTTATTGTTCTCTGAATTTTGCAATGTTGTTCTTGGCTCAACAGGTATACAGGTACTTTTCAAAGTTTCAGATAAACAGTCGTGTTAAATCTGTGCATGTATATTAAATAAAGAAATAAATCAAAAACATTTTTTAAAAGCCCAAGAGACAAAAACCATAAAGATTGAATGTTATATTTTAACATGAGCTTCTATGGATCAAGTCCACCTCTGCAGAAATAAGAGTGAGACAGTATGACTGTCACATTTATACAGGGCCCCACAACCAGATGCAGATAATGGAAAAAGTGACGATAGCTCATTAGTAAAGGAAAAGGACTATCAGAATGGGATAAATTCAGTTATCAGTCTACAAGGTAACAACAGCATAGTTGACAAAAGTGGCAGACTGTGGGAATCAATGTTGAATTTCACTCTTGGTAATGACTTGGGAAACCTTGATTGATATTCAGCTCTTTTAAGTCAATTTCTAGCATCCGTATATATCTTATCTCAGCTGTTTCTCTTTCAGGTCTAGTTTTGTAGTGGTGTTTTTTTCTTCTTCTAAAACTATGACCTGTAAGGAATGTTCAGTTAGACTGAAATCTTCAGAATCAGATTTTTCTGTGTTGCTATTCCTAGTGTTAGATTTATGTCCATTAATTTTTTTGCACAGAGATTAATCTGTTGTGTGTCAATAGTTGCTTGAGACAGAGTCATTGTCTGTAAGCAACTACAGGCCTGTCACCAAGGGCTTGGAAGTATTCTGAGATAAGGTAACTTTTGAATTCCCAGTTTTGTGGAGGAAATGTGCATTTATTAATCTTTTTAATTGCAGAACAATATAAAAAGGAACAGAATAGACTTATGAATGAACACAGGACAAGCTCATCTACTTTTTCCCTGACTAGGGAAAAATATTGAAAGGTTCTGAATTAGCGCTTCTCTACATGGTCAGTATAGAGCAGGCAAAAAAAAGGGTCTCAAGGGCATCTAGTACGTCATCTGGAGTAATCCTCACACCCAATTGCCATATAGATCTCAAGCAACTCTATCAGGTCAACACCAGCCTACTATCAATTTCTCAATGTTGTGACTTTTAAATGTGTGGAAGGGACTGTCACTCTCGAATTGGCCTTCTCAGCCACACTAGACGCTGTTCCAAGTCCTCCACACAGAGCACGTTACCATAGTCTCTTGAGACTGAAGGATGCCTAATCCACTGGCTTTTAAAAAGAGCTGCTTCAAGATATTAGTAAATTAAACACTTCCTCAGTTTCATGGAGAGGCCGAAGAAGTGAAAATAAATAGTTTTAAGTGTTTTAGGGCAGTGAGTATTCACTGCACCATTAAAAAAACACCCTGAACTTCTGCCAGTGATTCAAAAAGGTGTGGAAAAGGGTTGGGTTGCTCTGCAATCACCAGGATGTCATGCAGTCAACAGAAAACAGAACAAGCCTGACTGTGCCAAAAGCGATCCAAAATGTTAAATAAATTGCCATCAGGGCACACCATCATTTGCCAAATGTGGATTAAGGCAAGCTTGTGTCAGAATCAACAGAAATCTTTAGCTCTTAAGGGATTTTGGCTTCTAACAATGGATTAACTGTGGTTTGGCCCTGTGGTATGTTCCTCAGGGACATATTAGCATTGAACAGAAAAGTTCACTTGGCAAGCATGTTTGGTAGCCATTGCAACCATCAGTACAGAATTATGCAAAAAACCACAACTCCTCCCCCACCCATCTTTCCTGATTCTTGCTATCTAATGGTCTTTCTAACATGGACAGGAATGAGCTGAATGGCCCACAGACCCACTCCTCAGGTTTGCTTGTCTACAGGCCAAATAGAAGGCCAAATCATCCAGAAAACAACCTTCCAGTAGCTTGAAAATGTGTGTCACTATATACATTTCCTAATGTAGCTTCCTTCAGTCCTCTCTTATAAAAGATACTGTAATCCACAAAGGCTTCGGACATGTTAAATTTGTTAGACTTCTTTATTGTTATTTCTGCAAAATCCACTGGACAAATTGATCACAGATGAAGATTTGCTACATAGGACTTACAGGCCAAAATCCTCATGTGCAACACAAGTCATAAGTTTTGGTCTGTTCCTTGCAAGGAAATAAAGAACCTGCACAGTGACTGAGGGGTGTGTGCGTGTGCACATGCTGGCTTGGGGCACACATGCAAACCCCCACCCCCACCCATTGCGGTGGGTTTTTTTATTTATTAGCAAAGGGCAGATGGAAAAATACAACTTAGTTTATGTTACTCAACAGGATTTTGACCATAAAGAAGTTATTCACAGTCAGAGTTCTGTGAAGACTTGGTGATGACACTCATTTCTACAGAACTGGGCATTCATTAGTTCCTTTACCACCCTGCATATTGAATGTAGGAAAGAAAACTTCATGTGTCTGACCATGAAAGGACAGATAGCATGAAATGGGAGGGAAGTAAGCAAAAAATATTAAAGCACATGGGCCACTTCCTTAAAGTTGTTCTGTGACTTACCTATAAATATGTGAGACAATAAAATTTGCCAGACTGACATCCATTTCCATGTCACACACCTCCGTTTATTTCCCTCCCCTGTCTCTGTCTTTGCCTATTATGCATTCTGTCCTGTTTGTTCTTATATGACTACATTTGTATGATCTATATGATGTAAACATCATAGGTATATGTTACCTACCAGAGTAGAGGGAGATAAATGCTGGGGAGGGATGACTGGATTAAGGTCAAGATTCATGAATTAACAGAATAAGAATGCCTCTCCCATTCATGACTGATAAGGATGTTTGGAAATACAGTATCTGTTCACTTGATTATAACGTACTCTTAATTCAGCCTTAGTGGAGTCTGATCTTATCCTGCTCCATTATATTAAATTGTTCATTCATTACTGGATCTTATTTTGCATTCTAATGTTTCATCCTTTAACAGCAAAGCAGGGCTGTAAACAACAGGAATTTCTAGAGGTCATTAACTCATAAGGCCAGCTGTTGCAGTACTTGGAGAGTCCTGGTTTGGCTATGGTGACACATACCTTAGCTACATCACACTTGGATCACTGCAACATGCTTTACATGAGGCTGCCTGTGAAGAGGGTCTGGAAGCCGTGCCTGGTCCAAAATGCTGTAATCAGACTGCTGATCACGATCACCGTTAGAACAGATTCACTAGTTGTAGGTCTGTTTCCAGACACAATTCACAGTGCTGGTTATAAAGCCAAAAAAAGTGTGCCACTTATATACACCCCATAGCGCTTCAAGCACTCTTTAGGTGGTTTACAAGTTAATAACATAGGCTACACATTACCCCCCCCCCTCCAAGTGAGCTGAGCAGTAAATTTACCAACCTGGGAAAGAGGGAAGGCTGAGTTAACCTTCGGCCAGCTACCTAAACCCATCAGAATCGAACTCAGGCCACGAGCAGAGTCTTTTGCTGCAGTACGCAGTTTAACCGCAGTGCCACAAGGCTCCTAATACAGCTTGGTTTGCTGCTATCTGAACATCCATACTCTCTATATGACCCTACTCAGGTTGTAGGACCTTTAGGTGAAGCCCTTTTCTTTGTTCCACTACCTTCATTGGCATATCTGGTGAGGATGCAGGGGAGAGCCTCCTAGGTCGCTGTTTAGAGGTTGTGGAAAGCCTTCCCTTAAAGGAGACTGGGTTATTCCCCCTCCCTCCTGCCCTTCAGGAAACAGGTAAAGGCTTTCCTTTTCAGAGAGGTGTCTAACAACTGAATTACACAATGAAGAAATCTTGGTTTGGGTATGCTGCACATTATTGATGTTGTCATTTTATATGTGTTTATCTGCTTTAAACTAATTGTTTTACTATTATTGTATGTTTGGTTGTTTTTAGTTGGCTTGCTTATTAATTGTGAGCCACCTTTGATTCCATCATCAGAAAAAAACAGCATATAAGTTACATACATACATAGGTTCACCTTAAGTAGGAAACAATTTGGTGGCACACAATATCTACAAGAACAACAACATAAAATGATTGTTGAAAAATATTTTCCACTTACCCTTGCCATAGCTGGACTTATGGCAAAAAATTCCAAGACATAAACATTCAGCTACATTCCTTGGTAAACAGAAGCATTTGCAAAATAAGGTGCGAGAAGGTACCTAAACAAAGTAGTGGGGGGAAAAACACATTTTTAGAGAAAAAAATCAACCACACTTAGAGGTATCTAGTATAGTAGACTGCCATGCTAACCTTCCAAATGGGTATGTGCGCACACATGCGCACACTGAAAGTATATGAACCATCCCTGCAGAAGTTAGGATAGCTTAGTAGCAAGGCACATGTTTTGCATGCTGATGTCCCAAATTTATTCTTTGGCATCTCCAGGAAGAATTGAGAAAGACCAAGCTCAAAAATCCTGGAGAACTTCCACAAGTCACATGGACAAACCTTATGGCTCAGTGTAAGGCAGCTTCTAATACAAGAAAATGCATATTTCAACAGCATTTTTTCTCAGGAAATGTCATGTTCATCCTCCAATTATACAGAGTTTGTAAAAGAATTCCTACTACCAGTGCCTCCCCATCTGTGACCAATTTTGTTTATTTCAAATCCCTGTGTATTTCCCTACAAAACTTAATTTGGGGGAGCAATATATGGTAATAATGGCTCCCCAGAGTTAGTAAGCCGGCTAGAAATAGCTTAGAACTGATAGGCAATCACTCACTTTTTTTATTGTTTCTGACAAACCTGCCATATCAATATGCTGCAACACAGCAGAAGCAGAAATGTAGAAGCATGTGCTCAACAGAGGTGTGGTGGGTATTTTTTCTATAAGAGCCACAAAGGGGCATTGGAACACAACATGGAAACAGAGGCTGAAGAGTTGAGAAATTTTAACTTTTTGAACTACAACCCATGGCCAATGGCCATGCTGTTTGAGGAACTTAATTTCCACAGCTCGAGAAATCAAATTTCCCAAGCTGTAGAAATAGACAAGAGAATATATTTGCCTTTGTCTGCTTTTTCTGATTCTTCTGTTTCAAAATGCTGGGGTTTCAAAATCCATTACAAAGTCTTCAGTATAGTGAGCTTACCAATCTAAATATTTTATACCCTCCCCAAAACAGCTGCATTGCTGTATTTTTAAAAAAGCACACCTATGATTTGGAAATGAGGAGTTGCCATCTGTTAATCCATATTTTCTCAGGAGAGGAGAGAAACAGGATCATATCCATAGACCTCATTCTAAACTGAACCTTCATAAAGGATATACACAGAGTCCTGCTGAGTCAGATCAGCAGCCTGTCTAGCTCACATTGTTCCCACTGTGGTCAGCCAGATGCTTATGGGAAGCCCACCTGTTCAACCTGAGCATAACAACATCTTTATGCCTGTGTCCTCATCAAATCCTCAATGGTCCCTCTGATACGGAAGGTAATATGCCATCATCGTGACCACCAGTTTTTGAAGGCACTTGAGAGTACTTAGCTATGTCCCAGAAGCATTGGGGTGGCCATGCCTGGAGATGAACTGGTGACTTGTATGGATGTTTGGTCCAATTCAACAAGGTAGTTTTTATATTCTTAAAATTATACTCACAGATATGCTGACTACATTGATCTAGTTACGCAAAGATCAAAGGAGTGTATCACGCAACACATCTATTTTAAGCCTTCCTCTTAGTGTTTCATGTGACAGCCGAATTGCAGACCTGTGTACCCACCACTCTGCATTTTTCTGTGATTATCTTTTCTTAGTATTAGGCAACATGTTTTTCAGGTCTAAATTAAGTAAGTTTGCTTAAAATTATGTGCCCAGAAAGCTGGCTCTGAATAATGCCAGTTGAGGCCTGTGTGATTTTGTATGTTTTCAGAGACAGCTTTCTCAGCTGCTGCTCCAGGGGTGAGAAACTCCCCCCAAAGGGGTGGGTGGGTGCATAGCCACCTCTCTGTTATCTTTCTGCAGGCAGACTTTTTTTATTTAGGCAAGCTTTTCACGAGTAAGATATAAAGGAAGTTTGTAATCAGGACAAGTGCTGTCTTTTAAAACATGTACAGTATTTGTTTTTCAGTAGCCAGACTCCAAGTGAATATTTATTCTTGCATTAGTGCACTGGCAGAGCAGCAAATAGCCTCTAACTAACAAGTTTTGGGATAAATTCTTAGTAACATGTACATTGCATGACTTGACAGCTAACATGATCGAGGACTAGTTAATTAGTTGGTATTCACTTTTAGGTACATGGGTGGCACTCTGGGTTGAACTGCGGAACCACCAGGCTTTCGACTGAAAGGTTAGCAGTTTGAATCCATGCAACAGGGTGAGCTCCCATCACTTGTCCCAGCTCCTCGCCAACCTAGCAGTTCAAAAGCATGCAAATGCAAGTAGATAAATAGGTACCACTTCGGTGGGAAGGTAAGAGTGTTCTGTGTCTAGTCGTGGCAGCCACATGAGATTTGTTGGTGCCATCTGGTGTTTTTTGTGTTTTTTAGAACTATTGTTATCAGTTTTAATATTTCTATTTTTATTTTTGTTTTCTGTTTTACGAGTTGTAACCCACCCAGAGTAATGCTGTGACACTAACAGGAGCATGGATTTTACGAGTTGTAACCCACCCAGAGTACTGCTGTGACACTAATAGGAGCAGAATACAAATTGAATAAATAAATGACCATGAAAAGTGCCTACGGGCAAACAACGGCCCTTCAGCGTACAAACAGGGATAAGCACTGGCCCCTAGAGTTGGACATGACTAGACAGTTGTCAAGAGGAACCTTTACCTTTACTTATTCACTATTACCCCAATGTACTTAATACAGATAGAAATATTCACTTGGATTTTGGCTGCTACTTTTAAAACTGCTTGATATTTTAATTAATCTGTGTTTTTACCCATACTTCTTTTGTTCATTTTATTGTTAGATACCTTGAGTCCCATCATTGGAGAGAAGGAAATAAGTATAACAGATGACTGGAAAGGGCAACAAATGCTCAGTTGCCCAATTCAAGCCAGGGCAACACACAAAGGACTCTAAGACACCATGGTGACAATTCTGGTAATTAAATCTTTCCAAAATCTTCTCCAAAGTATACTGCTTTGGATACCTTTTTTAAAAAGCTCTGATCTTATAATAACTGATATAAAGAAAGAAGGAAAGAAGGTAGTGTGATGACAATGAAACGGTTCTGCTGTTGACCCACGTAATGAATTTGGCAAACTTCATTTTTGAAAACTCCCAGAATTACAAAAAGCCCTCTCCGTTGCGTTTACCAGATTTGGGAAGCTATTCATAGAACCAAACAGATCTTAACATGTTGTAGGACAATTGCTTAATATACATGTGCATAGGTACCTACAAACATGGAACAGTGAGGGAGGCCATATAGATCCATATTGGTGCACTACCAGCTAAAATTAATATTTCATGAGTTGTGAGCAAGAAGCATGTAGCAATCAAAGCAGGTTAATAATGCGTGTGTGTTTTTTCGTTGAAGCAGTTTTGTATCTCATTATCCAAGTGGTTTAAATGGCAGGTTTCTCCAGTTCATTTCTCTCTCTTTCTCTCTCCCTGCTTTTATTTTAGCTTATGTAACTCTGTAAAGTACCGCCATACATATAGATAATAAACAAATACTAGTCTGTGGGCTGTGGTTCAGTTATTAAAGAATGGTGGACAAAATATTTGAGCTGTATTCAAGATGTGACTACACTCCATAATTACTTTGAATTAAACACCTACCTCTCTCAATGTGGGGGCAGGAGAGACACCTTAAAATAAATAATATATTCAGAATGAACAATAGGAGAGACCTTCCTCTTGGCCCTCCCATTCTCACAAGTGTGTTTGGTGTATACACAGCAGAGGGCCTTCTCTGTTGCTGCCCCCAGACTCTGGAACTCCCTCCCACAGGAGGCTAGACTGGCAAAGACTTTTCAGGCAGGCTTTCCCTGAGTTGAATGGCTGATGAGTGGGTTTTTTTTGGCTTGAGGTACCTTACTGCATTCAATGTGATTTTTTTGTTGCATGTGGTTTTTTTTGATTAATTGAACCGTGTAGTACTGTATACTCATTATTACTAATTTAAACACTGTCTTTTGATTATTGTAAGCTACCTTGGGTCCTTTTTAAGAAGAAAGTCAGGTTAAAATATTTTAAATAAATAAATAATAAGTAATCCAGAAGTCAGTACAATGACGAGTACTAGATTGTTATTTTTCCATTTCATTCTTTAGACCCGTCTCTGTAGTTCATATGCCAGCAACAAGTAGATTGCCAAATCAGCAGCTTCACTTTCTCTGATACTTCAGGGCCAGGATGCGAAACAAGGGGTGGACCCTTGTGAAGCCACAGGCACAGCAGCACTTGGCACTAGGACTTGAAAACCCAGAACATAGCAACTATGACACCATCTGGTCCCTCTGCTGGGCTTCCCTCTTTCCTCCAAACATACCTGTAGTCCTCGAGCAGGTGGGAGAGAAATAGCTTACACAGTCACAAGCTATCCCTTACAACACTGTAAACTATTACAAAGGAGTTTAGGATAGTTGGATTATTAAGAGCCATTAACTTTACAAAATATCTCCTCCTCATTTGTTGATATGGACTGATCCAGCTGCCTACATTTTTGGACACTCCTAGGGATGGACTGACTGTGGGGATGGTCATGATGAACACCTGCACTTCTAAATTTACTATTGCTCAGGAGCAGATCCTTGTGATGGCACGGGCAGTGGGTCCTTACAATAACAATTGAAAATAATATATATGTGCATGGGCGTGTTTATGGCATTGTGAGATAGACAATATGGATTTGTTCTTCTACCACCTAAATAAATACTATATGAACACACAACACATAAACAAACACATTGAATTATTAAGCCCTGGCATCAGTTAGGAGTGGGGAGGAGCTATTCAGGCATTAAATCCACCAGACCTGACAACAAGCCAACCTCTTCTCCCTCCAGCACCACTTGCTCCACCACCAGATTTGTCTCCCTGCCTAGAGAACTGGAGAAGTCAAGCAATTCCCTGTGCTTTCAGATGGTGCCTGGCAGCCATAAAGGAAAAACACAGATCTCCTTAGGACCCTTGTCAAACCTGCCTCACATTTTTCCAATGCAGCTGCAGGCAAAAGGATCACACAACTGTCCCCTTTTCTGAAAGTTAATACTGTATGTATTTCTTGAGGAGCTGTTATAAACAATTAAATAAGCCTAATTTTGGAAAGTAGAAAGTTTTTTAAAAGCAAGTTTTTCTGTAGCTCGTTACAGGCACACAAATACACACCTTTTTTCACTATTGCAATTTGGAGTTGGTTGACGACTCCGCTCATCAAGGTGCTACTTTTTCAACTAGTTTTGTTAACCTCCTTGTTACCTAAGAAAGTAACATGTTGCAAATAACATGTAATAGGACTGACAATTCTAGGTTCAAAAAAATTCTGATACAGTACTTGGATACAACCGGCTAATAAAAGAGCCTAACAAACTCAAGTAGCAGTTTGAGCGGGGGCAGGGGCGGGGGCGGGGGGAGGAGAAATCTGAGACAAAAGTGGAAGGAGGATGAATTACTGTGGAAATGCAGTGGCTGGGATATAGGAGAGGATGAACATGTGGTCATACTTTTACATATGATAGGCTTCCCTTGGACAGGATGGGAGAGGCCTTTGTTTGAAGACCTGTCTAGAAATCTAGTCTGCTTTAAAGCTGAATCTAAGAAGGAAATAAGAAATAAAAAAGCAGCAACATTGAAACTCCCTGTTAGTAGAGTACTTCATGCTGGGACACCAGACAACCAGGTACAGAGGCATATTGTCTTTCTGCAAGTTTACAGAAAATATTTCTAAAGTCCCATCAATACATCTAAATTACCAGACAAAAATTTTTATGTCATTTCTCATCTTTTTCTCTCTCTCCTGGTGATGCATTTCCTTTTTTATGGTGATATATAAGAAGTGCCCATTCTGCTGAAAACAACTGCTTCTTGATGTCTATTTTCACTAAGAAAAAATAACCCCAGGGTTTAAGTACAAGTGCCCACATACTGTATAGCGCTGTCTGAACCTTGTTGCTTATGTGTGGACCACACAATTCACGCATGCATGCATGCACAGTCAAGGAAAAATGGCAACAAACAGAAGCTTGGCTCTATGATGAGGGAAAGTCTTGCAAAAGCCTAGTTTTCATCCGCACACAGATTTTTATCACAGTCTCCCAAGGAGTTTTGGTCTTGTTTGTTTCGGGCATAATTATTTATTTTTATTGAAATTTTGGGAATGTCTAAGATGTCACTGATTTGTGTTAATAGTATGGCCACAATTATGACGGGAGTAGAAAAGAAGCCACAAAAATTATTTTAAAATTATACTGCTCTTCATTGGTCTGTTTTTGCATTTTAATCTTATATCTCTCAATGAAACATGTCCCCTCCCCCTTCCGAGGTCGGTAAAATGAGTACCCAGCTTGCTGGGGGGGCAATGTGTAGCCTGTATAATTAAAAATTGTAAACCGCCCAGAGAGTGCTTGTAGCGCTATGGGGCGGTATATAAGTCCAATAAATAAATAAATAAATAAATTATATCTCTCAATGAAACATGTCCCCTCGCCTGCCAGTGAAACCTCTCTTTCACAATTAACTGCAACTCAAAATTATGCTCCTGGACACTGTCATGTGCCAAAACTGGGCTAGTGTGCATTTTGCCATGGGGACATGTATTTGGAGGCCCACACAAGCTTGGGCAAGCAGGAATCCTTTCTTGCACTTCTCATCAAAACCTTATGTGTGAGGAAATCCTCTGAGGCATTTATTTGAGTACAGATTTATTCTGCATCACTCAATCTATGTGGATAAATGAAAGCTCAGGTGACCTTCAGGCCTTGTTGTGAGTAAGCAGGCAGACCCTTCCAAAGAGAGAAATACCATAAGCAAAAGGGAAACTGTTAACCACACAAATACATCAAACACAGGTCTATGCAGTTACTGCATTAGGCAGAGTTCCCCCCCCCCGCCGCATGTGTGCATCTAGCTAAATCATGATAATAACATTCTTTTGATCCACAACAAATATGTTTGCCTTTTGCTTTCTGAATTCTGCAACCCCACAGGATATAATTGACCTTCAGTTATAACGGGCTAATTAATCAAGCTCCACTGGCAATACCTGGTAATTTTAAACCCACACATTGAAGAGGTGCACACATTAACCCTTCCTCCCCATCCCTGTCCTGTCTCTTTCTAAACCCTAATGATCATCCGTGCATTTGCCTTTGGTATGGCGATCCAAACTTAATCAGCAAAACACGAAGCACACACCAGAAAAAATACCCTCTCTCTGCCTGTTTACAGATTGAATCGCAACTGACAGACAGCTGTTCCAACAAGAGAAACGGGAAGTGCAGTGCTTATGCCAACCTCCTTGAAAACTGCTGCTAGGCTATTTTATTTATTCTGGAAAAAAAGAGAGAGAGATACTTTTCATGTTTGCTTACCTGTTCTCTCTAGAAAGCAGCCGCTTAAGAGAGAGGTTCACAAATAAGTGTCCCTTGGCTGAGGAAATGGGTTGTTACTAAGCAGAAGAGCGGGCAGAGTGTAATCCCTGGAAACAGCTTTTACTGTATAGCGTCAGGAGTGCTGATGAGAGAAAAACGGCTAGATCTTCTCATTGAGCATCTGGGGCTCTTTTCCTTTTTTTAAAGCCCACTTGGAAAACTAGGATCAGAACGATGGTGTGCCGAGATCACTAAACATCCCTTGTTTTCCCCTCTTCTGCACCTTTGCTGGCTATTTTTTTTTCTGATCGTTAGAATAAAAAAGCAGTCCTACCCTGAGAGAGGAATTAGAGCAATCACACTCTTTTTCAACCAGATCTTCTTTAAAAAAGGATCTCTCTGTGTGCTTTAGAAGAGATGCTCCCAAAGACAAACAGTTGATGGCTGAAGATCAAAGCTATGAAAAAAGGAATGAGGAACAATAATGCACCATCAGGCACCCCTCTTCATCATCCTTGGATCAGGTCTGCTGGACTTCGATGCCATCTGAATTCACTATACCCCAAACAGCATACTTCTGTTTGGAGACAGCACTTTGCAGCAAACTCCTTTAAAGGTATCATGATTATATACCTCAGCTGGTAGAGGAAAGATGTACAGTACTCAGCATCGCCCTAGAGATTCAGTGTTTGTATGTATGGAGAATGATGCAACCAGTGAAACTAAAAAGCAATCCAATCAGGAATTATACATCTTAGACAACAATGTCTGAAGATCAATGAGCAAATTAGGAATCTACAAAAAGCACCTCACCTGCCTTAAAAAATTACTGTTCCTCCATATGTTATTCAATATGTTACTTTCAACTGCAAAAGAGAAGGATACACACAAACTTATAAACAGGAGCCACCTCATAAAGATTTAATGACTTTTTTAGCTTGATGTGTTTTAATCTATATATGATTTCCTCAGTTCCACCACCTTTTCAAGTTCATTTGGTGAGGACGCTAGACAGGGCCTTCCCAGTGGCTGCTCCCAGGCTTTGGAATGGGCTGCCCATAGAAGCCAGGTTGCTCCCCCTCCCTCTTGTCTATCTGTCGTCAAGTAAAGACCTTTCTTTTCAGGCAGGCTTTTAAGCAACGAGTGAGGGTCTAGAGAACACTCTATTTATGAACTTCAGATTTTTAAAAAAATGTTATTAAAATTGTTTTTAATCTCGCTTAATGTTTAATTGTTTTAATGTTATTTTATACAGTATTTTAGACTTCCAATGTAAGCTTTTGTGAATAAAATTCACTTCCTCAGACATAGGGTAGAAAAGTCTTGTGGCGGACCTCTGCCATGAACATTTTGAGACTTTCATTCACAATTTTTCTACCCTGTGTCTGAGGAAGTTAATTTTATTCCCAAAAGCTTACATTGAGTGTTTGATTTTTAGTGTTCTAAATAAAGGTATCACTTTTGTTTGGTTTGTGCAAAGGACCACGTGGCCATCTCTGTTGTTGATTTTGGCTACTTTAAACTTACAGTTATAATTGTTGTGAGCCGTCTTGGGTTCCCTATGGGCAGAAATGCAGTGTATAAAATAATATAAATAAAATAAATAATAAATAAACAAGGTGATCCAAAGAATTCTGAATGTATTAACAAAATTCCTCAGGCCACATATTCTAACGTGATGTTTCAGTTTAATCCTGAGAAAGCAGAACACTGTTTTGGGCGACCAGCACTGCAGTCTGGGAAACTTGAAGACAATAATAAAAATAGCAGGAAAAAGCCAAAGTCCCTTTCAAGAATGAAACACTGTCAAAAAGCAAATTTCTAAACAAACCACCTCAAAAACCTGTACTAAAAACACGAGGAAAAGGAAAAGTAGCAAGACATGACATCACAGAGGCACTGTTATGTTTGCATATTGCAAGTTTTACTTAACACATTTTTCATTTGAAACAAATTAAGAACTAATATTTGAGGGGAGCTAAACAAAATTAATACTATAATTTTGGCTATGTTTTTAAGTATTGTTTTTAAGTATTTAATATGTTTTCCATATTTTGCATCATCCTCACAACCTTTCCTGATCAATTTTTTTTATTTAAACAACAGCTTAAATGATACCTGGTTTCTACACTGTTTTCACCCTACAAATCGCTTGTTCTAACATTGCTATTTTCACTGGGGAGGACAGCCTCACTTTAGCCTCACTTGTTCCTTTAAATAAGGGGAGTGATGCTGTCAGACTGTAAATCTCACAGTCCCTTACCACTGGCTGTACAGGCTAGGGCAGACAGAATCTGCAATCCACCACTTTCTGGAGGCCATCCATTCTCCAGCCCTCTTTTGAACTTTGATTTCCACCCCTCTTTTAATTATTACCTTGGAGTTTCATTATTTCACATTGTGTTTGTGTTCAGGTGAAAACAATAGAAATATTTGCGAAATTAGATTTCCGGAGTGTATGGTATTTGTAAAATAATTAACTCAGTTTTTTAAAAAACTTAGTTCTACATATATGTATTTTACATATTTTCAGACTTGAATTGTAGTCATGTGGATGAGACCATCTACTTAGATCTACATATATTTAGAGTCCCTGCCCCACCCCATGGTGGCACACCGTGCAACTCTGGATTCTCATCAGTTGAGAGCTATGGTTGCATTTTATCCATGGGCCTACCTTCTTATATTCGAATCCCAAAAGTGGTTATTCTTCATTTATGTATTTCTTTTGCTCAGTAAAGATTCATATGACAGAAAACAAACATAGATAAACTTTAACGTGGCATATATCATGGTCACGTATGAACCAATGCGAGACCATGGATGGAGTACCGTACAGTATTTGATTTAGACAAGAGAAGGGGGGGTGTTAAATTCCTTTTGTGAAGCCCGAGTGAATGGTCTAAACTCATAGTTTTCTAGCTGAACTACTGATGATGCCTTCAATTTTAGGATTACATCACTGGATTCCATGAAATAAAAAACAACAAGGTTACTCTTTAGCTGCATTCACCACTGTCCATATTAAGTCTGAAAATATAAATCATATTCTATTCATTCTCTGAATTTGTGCTGGTACTTAGAAAATCAGGCATGAATATTCAGATTTGAGGACTGCTTCATACTGGGATTTTAAATTTGTTTCAGCTTGATCAGTTTCCACCAACTGCCTGTAATGTTTCACTCCTCTAAGACAGGTTTGGATAATAACCCTCAAACAGTATTAGTCAAGTGCTCAGAACTCTTGGCACTATTTACGTTTTCTCTAGGGCCCAATTAGACAATATAAAGTGACATTTTAAAAGACAAAATGTTGTATCTTGTGCTTACAGATTCACCTAACCAGGCCCAGTTACTCTGCTTGCCTTCTGAGGGGATAGAAGAAAAAAGTGGCAGAAATGGTTCTGAAGTAATCCCCAACTCAACAGACTTTCTACACTTATGCAAACCACTTGCAATATATTATTTACCCTTCAATCGGAGTTCTTATTGGCCCAGTTAATAACATTATGCTATCCATACCTCAGGGTGAATGTTTAATTAAAACTAAGGGGTATTCTTTTTCAGACAGTAGTACATGTAAGACATTGCATCACTGGCTTCTGAGAGGCTTCAACAAAGCAATTTTACTTAACATCCCTATAATCTAGGGCATATAATATAAAGCGAGCCAACATAACATATATAATTATAATTATGCTCCAGGGGAGAGGAGAAGATCTACAGTGGTGAAAGTCGCCATCATTTAAAATGTCTGCATTAACTGGATTTCTACTGCTATGCTGTCTGTCTGGAAAACTTCTCATTCTAGCTTTCTTTTTAGAATGTCCCAAACCCCATTGGGGGTAGTAAGTAGACAGTATCCTGTATCATCAACCCAACCAATTCCCCAGTCACTGTTGGTGTGGATGGGAGGGTGGTTGGAGAAGGCATTAAAACAGTTGAGGGCAGAAGGGACTGCTGCCATGGATTTCTTCTAGGATTGGTTAACCCCTGACCTACCACAAACTTCTTCAGAGACTTCTACTCGCCATCCAAGGTTGAGAAGGAGCAAAAATTTTACTTCCCAAACCTCTCTGTTAAAACTCATTTACTTCCAAGACTCAGCAAAACTGCTTTAATGGATCTTCCATTTTAATTTGAGAGCATCAGAGCCTACGTCACACAATTTTCCCTGATCAGTCCTTTCCTGGAAGTGTTTCTGCACCTTTCCCCTTTCTTGCCTCATTATTGCTCCATGCAAGCCTCAGTGCAGGAACTGGGTTTGTGCTTCCACTAAAACAAAGAAGTATTTAAATATTCTGAACTGCCCCCCCCTCTTTTTTTACAAGTTGGAGAGGCACATTTGCTCTTCAAGGGTGTACTGTAATTCTAATGTTTAATGTTACTTCCAGAGTTATGGAACTATGGTTTTGCTAAATGTGGAGCAATCTCACATGATTTGAGTGCTGATTCATGATGCTGCCTTGTACTTTGCTGTAGTTGACAAGGTGGATGGCAGGAGACTATGTATTGTAGCTTACAAGCTTCAGAAGATTCCTGAAAGAAACTGAAATAAACTATTTGGGTACTTGTGGCAATCAACCCTTTGTGGCCTCTATTTCTTTGGGCCTCACAAAGGAACACACGCCCTTTTCGCTGCCACCAGGTATTCTCCTAATACCAAGTTATGTCCCACACAGGTGCTACCTACATTAAGGGTCATAGAACTTGGAAATCAGAGGTTTTAATTATGTTTTTTTTATTATTAAACAAATCAAAAGGAAAATCACAATAGAACTGGTTCAGGTGTTAATGCATATTGGATCATGTAGTCAATCACTTTTATTCTGAGCTGCTGTATGCTTTCAATCAATCTCTCTCAGGTAGTGTTTATACATTCATTCGTGCTTGTTCAATGTGTTTTAATCTTCTCAGTTTCCTCTCCTAACCCCCTTAAATCTATTCACTAACCCTCTCCTTCGTTCTCCTAAACCCCAACACACTCTAACTTTCCAACTGTCTCTCCAACTCTAACTCCGCCCCTCCTGCCCTATTCTTGACTCCTCCCCCTTAGCTGCTGTGATGGACAGGCAGGAATGATGTCACCTTTTTGCATTCCGCTACAGTACTTTTTTCAAAAGAAAAATATAAAATTATTTTAAATTTATAGCGAAGGTGGTAAATACTTCAGATTTTTGGAAA